CGCTAGCATAAGCGGCACACACCCCCTATCCTCTGCCTTTTCTTCACTTGAACTTGCGAAGAGGAACCCTGAGCTGACTTGCTCATCCTAGTTTTGCCCTAATGGTACTCTATAGGACATGTCACTTCCTTTCCCTTTAGCACCTAGGGAGGGTCCTTGACCGGCGTGGGGTTGCCTACAATCAATAACCTCTTGCAAGGTGGATTCGTACCAGAATCCCCTTAATTAACATTGTTTGGATTAACATTGCATCTACCCGTATTTCCATTCGAAGGGTCAAAATCATCTTTCTCCTTATACATTCGGTTGGGTCATCCCCAAATTTCCCTCCACAACCACCTTGGCCCTACTAGCCCAGCCACCTCTTTCACAGGTGGTGCTACCACGAGGTTGAGCAATGAACTCATTTCTAGGCTAGAACCACATCTAGGTTGGAACCGTCATAAAACTGCCAAACCGAAACTTCTTTGGATCACGAACCCCATCCCCACATTGTTCTATAACATGGCCAATCGTATCTTAATTGGCGCCAAACAAGATAGCTTCTCGAGATTCTACCCATGAGTACATCTCTCATTTGTTGCATGGATTCTTGTTAAGCGGGGCACACTTGCTCAATTCTCTTGTCATGGTGCTCGTGCTCAAAATGGTGCCGATGAGCGCAAGCAGCGCCAGTTTCTTGAGGCGGCTCGTGCATTGATGATCATCACCTCTCCTCCGCCTTCCTTATGGGTTGAGGTTGTTTCTACTTCCACCAATCTCACCAACATTCAGCATTCCTCTGCTCCACAAGGTGACATTCCCATCGAACGTCTTTTTGGTCATTCTCGTGACTACTCGACGCTTCGTTTGTTCGATTGTGTTTGCTATGTTCTTCTTGCCCCACGTGAACACACCAAACAGACTGCTCAGTCTATTGAATGTGTCATCTTAGGCTACGATGATGAGGATAAGGGTTATCGGTGTTAGGATCATGTCGGTTGTTGGATGCACATTTCTCAGGGTCTGACTTTTGATGAATCTCGTCCTTTCTATCCACGTCCATCCTCTCCTTCTGCCTAACCCATTGAGGATATTTCTTTCCTCACTTTTCCTGATACACATATCACTCATGTATTGTCCTCATCCACGCATCCACTGTGTCTTCCCGTACAACTGTTGTAGACCCCATGCCATCATCACCTGCGGCTCTGCACCTCATCCGTTACCTAAGGCTACCTGACCTCGCTCGTTACCCGAGGCTTCTCCAGTGATTCCCCTCTTCCTCTTTACCACATTGGTCGTTTGCGTGTTGTGGATTCTTCTGATGCACCATCTCCCTCAACTACCATGCCCCTTTTGTTGGCAACACATTGCCTCCAGCTCAACCTACTTATGACTTCTGCGCTCCCCCACTTCCGCCTATTGACCGTTGTAGTTATTCGGAGTCATTCTTCTCAAGGCGACTTCTTATAGTGGCCATGGTGTTCATCCCAAACGGCAGCATGCAATGGCAAAAGATATTACTGCTCATGAGCGCACAGACACGTGGGATCTCATTTCCCTTCCTGTGGTCGTCCCATCACTTATAAGTGGTTTACAAGGTTAAGACTAATGGTTCTCTTGAGCGTTACAAAGCTCGTAGTGTGGCTCGTGGCTTTCAGCTAGAATATGGCCGTGACTACGATGAGACATCTGCTCATGTAGCCTACATGACCACTATTTGCACATTTCTCGTTATGGCTTCTATTCGTCACGGGCTTGTCTCATAGCTTGATGTCAAAAAATGCCTTTGTTAATGGTGAGTTGCACGAGGAGGTCTACATGTAGCCACCACCTGGGTATTTTGGTCCTGATGGCATGATCTTTTGTCTTCGTCACTCTCACTATGGCCTTAAGCAAACCCCTCATGTCTGGTTTGAGCGTTTCATCTTAGTGGTGATTGTGGGTGGTTTTCTAGCGAGTGCTCATGGTCTTGCACTTTATGTCCACCTTTCAGCTCGTGATCAGACTCTTCTTCTATATGTCGATGACATGACCATCAGTTCATCACTGGTGAGCACAGTGGCTCGAATGAAGGGCGATGAGGCTCAGAGGTGGTAAGGTTTGTGTTGTAGGCGGGGGTCTTTAAATAGCGGGCGTTAGGGTTGGCGTAGCGATGGCTCAAATTCGCACTGCCCGAGTTGGCTTCTCGTTCTCAACGGCAACACGAATGTCGGGTAGGTGAATGGCGGTCAGCCTGGTTGAATGCAGTAGGAAGTCGTCCCATCGGCCCGTCCGGTCACGTCCACTCTGAACCAGCATAACGAGATGAGAGCGGCAGGCCGAAGCAGCTTTTCGACAAAGGAATCTGTGTGCACTTTAGCATCCCTAAGAGAATCTGCCACACCTTGAGTCCATGGTTGTACAAAGGAATCTGCCTAATATGTTACTTACTATGAAAAGAACCCATTCCTAACTCGGTTAAACTTGCCTAGCTTGGAGTGCGGCAAAGTATGGTAATGTTTGGCTATGAAACCAAACAGATCTTAAACCTCATATAATCTAGCTTATGGACTTAAATGGGTACTGCAGTTCCATACATTAGAAAGGAAAATAGAACGTTACTTCAATCTTTAGTTCATAGTCAACAGTAACGCATACCAAGTTGTTCAGAGCCGATGCAGCATGTAGATCTCTCAGTCCAAATGCTTCTTTAGCTTCCTGTAGGGCTGCCTTGAATAACTTCTCAGATTCATCTAGTTTTTCCTGAAAAATGGATATAAATGGATATAATAGACTGACAACAATTGTAATTTAAAGTTTGGATCAAGTAGGAGTAACTAAAGAGACACGCCTCCTTTCCCTTGCATAAAGTGATACTCCAACAAACATTAAGATGTTAAAAACTTGTAACACACAGGGTAGGTATTTGGTCCAAACAGTCATACTTAATTGAAACGTTCAATAGTTGCATGATTTCGTAACTGAAGCAAGGCCTTGGAATATGTACTTACGATAAGAGAAGTTGCTAAACCCAAGCTTTCAAAAATAGCAATAAAAAATATCATGGCAAATTAGCACCCAGTTTCTGTATATCAACATGAAACAGCACATAGTTCAATGACAGGCTAAACCTTCCAAATCCAC